GACGAAGAGAGAGCGCGAGTCTATCTTAAGTACGTTAAGAATAACGAATAGACTAGGAAGGGGGAAGTATTACGAACCGACCTTTATACGGTCGTAGAGCCCGAGTATAAAGAGTAGGTTAGGCGGAACTAGCTTAAGGGGGGCTACGAATAGATAGCTCCGTTAGTAGAGCTAGTCTCTATCACGTGATAGACTAAAAAAGGAAATAGTTAGAATAGAGAAGTTAGAGTAATAGATATAACGGGACCGATATACTTAATATACTTATAATACTATAATACCTAGAATTACCTAGATAGGGAAGTAGCCTAAAGTATATAGTTAGAATAGGACTCTTTATAGGAAGGGACGTAGTTAACCTTAGTTAGCTATAATTAAGTTATTACTAATTATAACGCTTTACGTATAAGACTACGACTTATATACTTAGTTTCTATCCTAGGCTTCAACTAGTCTTACTACTATCTCACTAGATTAACTCTTAGATTTACTTAAGGATATCTTACGTATTATAAAGCGGTTTATAACATTTTAACTATCCTCCTAGATAGTAGATAGAAATAATAACTATATTAAGTAACCCTAAATTACTAGAACTCCGGATTATCTAATAATCTAACGTATCCTTAGTAAGTATTAACACCTTAAGTGTTAATAATATAGACGTCGGAAAAATAAAAGACGACCTAAAGGTAGAATACTTCTACGGAGATAGGAGTAAGCTAGGAATATACTTAATATAGTTAAAGGCGGTATTTACTCTCTAATATACTAAGTATCTATCTTATAAAGATAAGATACTATTCGTAGGACTATAACTTAGAGAGTCGACCTTCGAGTAGTTTAAATCTATTATAGGGGATTACTTAGAGATACTCCTCGGATAGCGAGATAACGAAATAAAGATAATCTTCGACTACTTCTCTATATTCGAAGAACGAATTAAGTAAATCTTTAGAATACCGGGAGAAGAGTAGGCGACTTTATAGAGAATCTATTAACTTAAGTAATAAGGATTCGTAGTCCGTTACTATATAATATTTTAATAATACGCTTTAAAATTAGATTAGGAAGATAAAGCTTTCGCTTTAGTCTATTATTAAGACTTAAAGAACTCGATTAAGGATAGAATAGAAACGGATCGTCCCGACGAATATAAGATACTTATCGCCCGTTCTATCGAGATCGATAATTAGTTATATAAATAATAATTAGAAAGAAAAGAGATATACGTAGGGAGAATAACTTATCGGAATAAGTACTAGAGAGACCTAATAGATCTCGATATAATCTAAAAAGAGAACTAATAGAAGATAAAGAACTAATTAAGGGAGAAGAGATCTAGAAAATCGGGAAAGTTATAAAGAGAGAAATATAAGGAGGAGAATCTATACTATACGTATAGAAAATCCGGATATCGAGTAAGAGAGTATAAAAATAGTCTAACGTTATATATAATAAACGGCGGTATAGCCGGTTATAAAGAAATAAAGACCGACACTTTATAGAAGACCTAGATAATAGCTAATAACTAGAGAAAGATAGTATAGAAGAACTATCTAAGGATAGAACTTCTAGAGGAAGTAGATAGATTTACGAAGAAAGAACCTAAGGAAGAAGCTAACTTAGAAGAATAAATATAATAAAGGAATTACGCGCTACTTAACTAGATAGGATACTATAACGATAACTATCTAATTTACTTATTAGATAAGAAAGGGATAAAATAGTTTCTAAAAAAGAGATCGCGTATACTAATAAGAAGAAGAGTATCTAAGCTTACGCGATAAAAGGCGTAGAAGGAACTCGTTTAAGACTATAGAATCTAGATAATACGTATACTAGATCCGAAAGAAAAAATTATATTTATCGTAATAAAATATAACTAGAAGGAACTCGTAATAGTTATCTCTTACTAGATAGAGATCGATTATTAATATATAGATAACTATAGGAAATACGAATAATACGGATATCTAGTATTCTATAGAGAGATAGCTCTAAAAGAACTAACTATAGTCCGACTCTAAATATACTAGACTACGAGAAAAGGATATATAGTACTAGGAGAGTACTTATACGTAAGTAAAGGAAAAGATATATATACGATATTAATTAAAGTACTAAAAAGCCTTAGTATAATAACTAAAATAGTATCGGCTATAATAAGAGATTATATATACGAGGATTACGAAATATATATAGTATTATAATATTTACTAGAAGTATAAAACGATATAGAAGAGATCGAAGATAACGAGATAGACCTAACGATCGGATATAATAAAAGATATAGACTATATAATAGATATAGAGACGGAAAGATCCGAGTCGAAGAAGAGAAAGAAGAATTAATCGCTTTCGATAATATAGTCTTACGATAATATATAGTTATTAATATAGATAACGAAGAGATAGAGATTATTATAAATCTCTAGAGATTAAAAGAGTATTAAAAGAACTATATATACGATAGTATCTATAACTATATAATCTATATATCGTACGATATACTATAGATAACGATTAGAAGGATTATATTACGATAGTACTAGGATAAGAACTACGAGAAGAAAGAAAATATATACGTTTACTAGTCCGTAGAACTAGATACGGTACGGCTCGATTTACCCGAAGGAACGATAGTTCGAGTAGTCTAATAAAGGGGAAGGAAATAGATAACGTAGAGAGATAAGAGTCGAATTGAGAAACTAATATCGTCTAGAAGTAGACCGATACGGAAATATCTAGTAATCGACGAAAGAGAAAATCCCGATTACTACTATAAGAGACTCAAATATAGGGGAAAAGACTATAATAAGAGAGAAGAATACTTATATTACTAGAATATCGACCCGTTATAGCTAGAGAACTCGATATCTAAGGGAGTTTATATAGACCTATTAAAGACGGAAAGGATATATAAACTATAATAATACTCTTAGAGGAAAGAATTATATATATACTAGAAAGAAAGAGTAATTAACGTAATATTTATCGATAGTAACGAAGGAGATAGGGATCCCTACTAGCCGTACGTTATAAAGGAAGTCGTTAACGATAGGGTAGAGAGAACGTTTATAGTAAACTACTTCCCGTATCTAGACGAAGGAATATACTATATAATATATCTCTATATCTATATATATAACGTAAACTCGAGATAACTAGAGATACTTATTTATCTAGGAAAGATATTCGGAAGGCTAAAAGAGTACCTAGATAACGAATATAGATAGATAGACGAACGATATATATATTAGCTAAAAAACTTATAAGTAACGAACTTAAGGGGCGAGAGAGTTATAATAATAAAGAAATCGACTGTCGAGTCGGATAGTCTCGAAGTCTATACGCGTTAACGGTAAAAGACGACTACGCGACCCTTACGAGATAACTAGCTAGAATATAGATTATTATTATAATAGACTTAGAAGCTAATAAGAGCTATATAAGTATAAGTATAGTTAAACGATTATACGAGTATAAGACTAAAAAGAGAGTCCTATATCTACTATAGATAGTAGATAGATAACTATTAAAGTGGATTACTATAGAACTTAAATATATTCCGCTAACGATTTTAGGATATCGAGAAAAGATTAATCTTAATATTATATATATACTAAGATATAANCGAAAATTATAAATTAGTATTTAGATTAAAGATTACGTTCGTTTATTAACTTCTATTAAGATAATTAATCTAAATTACTATCGATAATAGACTTTATCTAGACTACTCTTCTATATAAATCGATCGAGTTAAGTCCGTTTTAGATAGAATTTAGATACGAGTCGAGAGTCTCTTTCGACTAGAATCGACTCGTAGAATCTACTATCTTATAAGAGCGATTAAACTAAGAAGAAGTCTAATAATTTCTCTAATAAATATATTAAGTATAGAAGATAGCGAGAGAGAGAATACGCGTCGCGTAAGAACGATAAAAGAAGTAAGCGGATCGTTATTAACGCGAGATAGACTTTAATATAAGAGATAGAGTTTAGATTACGACTAAGAATTAGAATATAGATAGATTAAGTAGAAAGTTATCCTATTAATTAGTAAACTCGTTTCGAATCTTAGAAAGAGTAGGAAACGCGTATAAACTAGAGTTATTAATATTAATAAAGATATATCTAATAATATCCTCTAATCGATTAAGAAAGATATCCGAAGACTCTCTTTTTAGATAAGTAAATAATCTTCTATCGGTAATTAAAGTTAATAGCGAAGTAGAATAAGAAGTAGAGAAGATATTAGTAGTAAGATAAAGATAAGAAAAACTATAATATAGAGTAAAGTAGCTAGACTAGAACGATAATTCGGAATAGTACTTAACGTCTAACTTTAAGAATACGCCTTATAAAGTAAGAGATTATTATATAGCGAACCCGAATAAGCTAGATCCGTCTTAACGCTTGAAAGAATAGATACGAAACTAGGAAAATAACGAGACTTTAACGAAGTACGAAGACGACGATAAGTCTAAGAATAGACTTACTTAGAGAGAGAGGTAATATTACGACTATAAGTATAGATAGACTAGATCTAACTAGATCTAGTCGGATCTAACCCGACTCGACGATATATTCTATATTAGTTAATATCGCGCTAAATAAAGACGAATCGTAACGGATCGATATTATCCCGAATAAGATACGGAATAAGCGTATATCTCTAATTAGTTATAAGAGAAGAACGACTTAGTATATTAGGGCCTTAGTAGGAGTAGTCGCTATATAAAAGTATAGTATCGTACCCTTTCCTTCCTTCCTTTCTTCTTTCCCTTAGTCTAGTCTCTTATTATATAGAAATATATATCCTTAGAGTCTTCTCCATCTTATATATGCCCTACCGTCATAATATCCATATTATCTATACTTATAGGACTAATAATAATAAAGTTAGAAATTTGATAGAGTTATATTGTCACGGCCGTAAGCATAGACAGACCAGATCTGACTAGATCTAGTCAGATCTGACCTAACTCGACGATATGTCCCATACCGATCAATACCACGCTAAGTACGGACGAACCGTAACGGGCCGACGTTATCCCGGACGAGGTACGGGATAAGCGTATGTCTCTAATTGGTTATATAGGAGGAGCGACTTAGTATACTAGAGCCTTGATAAGGATAGTCGCTATATAAAAGTATAGCGCCGCACTCTTTCCTTTCTTCCTTCCTTTCTTCTTTCCCTTAGTTTAGTCTCTCGTTATATAGGAATATACATCCTTGGAGTCTTCTCCATCTCACATGTGCCCTGCCGTTATATATATTCTCTTATATATCTCTTATATATCTAATTACGCGTAGCGCGTATCCTTAATTAATATATAGTTACGAGATCTAGTATTCTATTTTATATTATATCTATTGATTATAATAATAAGATATATAAAAGGTAGAGAAAGCTCTAAGATATATATTCCTAAAGTATAAGAGACTAATCTAAAGAGAAAAAGGAAAGAGAGAAAGAAAGAAGCGTACTAGCGCTTATTTATATAACGTATATATTTATTCAGCTTTTCTCTATTAAGTCTCTATCTATTACGTAAGCTATCTACTATATAAGTTATTAAATATATAAGTTATTTATTACGTTATAACTATTATATTAACTATTATATTAATAATATAGAGAATATAACTCCCTCCTCGGCCTGTTGACAGCTCTCTGGTGAGAGAGCGGTGTGCCTTCTGCGTTCTGGCCGTGCAGATCACCACGACCCGGGTCTCGAACCCTTCAGATCCTCAGGCACGACCACGAGTCTAAGCGATCCGTACTGACGACTATACATGGTTGATAGGGCGACTGATCCTTCCCGTCATCAAGATCTTCCACCGCATCGTGTCGATCTGGAGGCCTAACCGCGCCGCCGCCGTCGCTGACCCGTCCGACCCCTTGCCCCTGACGCCGACGACGCTGCAAAGCACGCTGTGGCCATTCATCTCGCACTGCTACCTGTCACCGCCGCACCGACTTACGCGGTGGTCGCTCGACTGTCTCGCGGTGCACCCAGAGTTCGAGAAGCGTGGACATGGGCGGGCGCTGGTCGTATGGGGTCTGGACCGCGCCCGTGAAGAAGGTATCCCAGCCGTCGTCATGGCGGCCGCCGACAAGGAGCGGTTCTACCAGCGCTGCGGGCTGACCGAGGTGGCGGGCTGGGCCAACGACGGTGTCGATGACCAGGGAAGAGTCAATCCCTTGAAGGGCCGCATCCGGGGTGGGTGTATCCTGTATACGCCGGTGTCGGAGGATGATGAGTGGGAGAGAATGCATTCCAAAAGGGAGTGACGTTCTGGGTGATCGCACGGCGGCGGCGGTGTCTGGAGCTTTGTGCCCTTCACCCTGGCGACCTTAGGTGGACAACCATGATTCACTGGCGTTTCCTGCTGGCCTGGGCTTCTCCGATCTCGATGGCCAGTCACATATACATTTTCAGAGGCTCTCCCAGTACTCTGCCTGTCGGTGTATCGCCTCCTAACGACCATAACTGACATGGTCAACACTGGGCGTCTGTGTGCGAAATATACTGGATCGCAGGAACAGGAAATCGCTTGGTATTCGGGCTCCTCGTAAGAGTACGCGTCTGAAACCAAAACCAAAGCTGCGATGAATATCAGCGCCGAGCCAACATTAGGAGACTGATCGACTCTCCCAGATGCGAGAGGCTGATCCTCAACCGGGGCGAGACACCTTCTGCGTTCGAGATTACGTTGCTGGCCCTTTCTTCCCACTTGTTCCAGTCCGGACCACGCGCCTCACTTACGCACTGATCTCTTATCACCTTCACTCCCTCGACCCGTGATGTTAGGGCACCAGTTGTTGCGAGCCCCCGATTCCACCCCTTCCCTCTCTTTGTTCTTAAAATCTTTACCCCTAACCCAGTCCAAGTTCTGGGTATCCCGTAGGACGAGAGGTCAACCGTCCTATTGTCTCTCTGACTCTTCAATTCAGTCCCATCCGCCTCCAGAGATACGTCCCGTCCCGCTTTTCTCGTTACTGCAGATGCAGAGCTACTACCAGAAAAAACGTCACGGGACAGCTTGGAGGAGTGATGCATCGTGATGATCAGCGGCGCGTTAGTTCTGAAGCCTTGGGAAGACGTGCCGAAGTACCCCGATCTCAAGGCGTGGCATCCGATCAAGTCAAGCGTGATGCTCTGCGGAGATACTAGATGGGGAGAGCTCGAAGGAGAAAAGAAGCGGGATGGATTGTTTGATTTCGAGGGCTTTGGAATGATCCACGTGGCATGTTAGTGATATAGATGAGTGAGAACGTCGGAGGTGAGTAGGCCGCTGAGGAAACGGCACCGCTCCGTCCCAGGTTTGCGAGCCAGGTCCAAGTCGTGAGGATAGAGCGTTTATTATTAGTCTCTTCCAGCAAGATGGACACTTGTTCTTGTCGGCTCATACACGACAGCAATCTAAACCGTCTACAACGTCGCCTTATAATTGTTGCTTGGGGAAAATGCTGGAGTCGCAGCGCATCGGTATCTCCTTGTTCTTTCTAAACCCGCATTTGTCAGGTATCCGTGTCGAAAGTCGGACGGTCGTTCATGCATTCTTCAGCCAGCCGGAAACTGACAAGCACTAGACCAGCCAAATACCACGAGGCCCTCCACCCACGCTCCGTCATCGAGTCAATCAGTTAAAAGTTTATCAAGAGAGGAATTTCTCCATCTCGCGTGGTAATCAATGCTTGGGAGAAGAACGTATATCTGTTCTCAGATCCTGGCTGCGGCTCGGGTCATAAGATCACCGACATCGAAGACCTGTACAGAAACCACACCTGAACCTTGGCGCCGGGGATATTTCGACGCGGTGATGTGGTAGTCATGATCGTCTTCCGTGGTGGAGAATCAGTTTAAACCAGGATGTCCATGAAAAGCCGGTCGCTGGTTCCCAACTCAGCGTAGGGAAACCCCCAAAAGTGGTCCATGGTTCCTTCGTCCTTCGGGTCTATCCAAAATTTTGTTGGAGCTTCGCTGTCCTACGAGGCATCAAATGCTGGCGGCGGCGGACTCTGATCTTGCCAGTACGACCTTAAACCTCCCCTAGGCGGTCGCTCTCCTCTGGACTGGTCTCCAGTGACAACCCAGGTCGGTAGTGATCGGCTCCAGTTGCTCCGCCCTTGGATAGCACGGGCGAGGATGCGGGGTCGCGGACAGGCTCGACAATAGCACGGCTTTTCTGGATGAGAATGTGGGAGAACGTATTCTGCGGCGAGTAGTCTGCGGTGATGCCGAGTTCCCTGAGGCGAGCGGGAGGAACGCATGGACGTGGGGATGTATCCGGGGAGAAAGACAAACCTATCTCCCTCGCAGGCCCTACAGACTTTGCCTTTGTGCAAGAAACTGGCGTCAAGCGACGAAGGCTCAGCTTGCCGGGCCATCGTCCGAAGCGACTGCAGAAACGAGGAGACTCCAAGCCACTCCCTCCACGCGAACGACCGAGGGCATTTTCCGCAACGGCAAGTATCCTCAGTTTGTCTGAAAACGAGAGCGTGGCCTGGATCTTTGAGAATATCGGCAAAGACGAGATCCTTGGAGAATATGGTCTAGGAGGGGGCGCCAATGGTAACGAGATGGACCGCTTCGATATCAGGAATAGAAGTTCAGAGACTGCAAAGGTGCTTGCATACAGTACCGGTCATCCCGACGAGTTTGGCATTGTGCCTGAAGACGCACCCTTTTCTATCACCAATACACTGGGCACACACAACCCTCTCATCCGGTCGGATCTCACGTACTATATCAATGGTGGTGGAGGAGGTGTTTCCTTGGTGGGTAGCATCAATTGGTGCTGCTCACTCGGATGGGACGACTACAAGAATAACATTGCAACATTGACTGGGAACGTGATCAATGGTTTCTTGAAAGGACGGTGATAGATGGAGCTGCTAGATGATCTACACAGTGGCAGCCTGTCAGATCTACTGGGGGTTCCCAGTTCTCAAAGACTCCAAACGATTACTGCTTCAGCCGCTGTGGCATTTGACCAAGTAAATGTCTTCAAAACCTAATTGAGGCTTGATATACCCCTAAGAAACAATGCCCAATTTCGTGATGCTTCTGCATGGTTGCGAAGGGGTCAGGAGCACTCCACATGCGGGTTTCTCTTACATCCGGTCTAATGCAAAGAATCAGCCTCTGGTCGAGAGACCTAAAGAAATTATTATTGCTGAAGCCATTAAGATCTCTAGGCAGATGTAGGCGCTTTCGACCATTGTTGTTATCGCTGTCAAACAACAACACCATGTCGTACTTATTTCGGTCTGACGTCAATAACACATCCGATAAGGGTGAGATTGCCGTTGCTATACCTAAAGAGTGTAAGGCGGGTGTGGTTGTCAATGAAGGCCCCGATTTCCATATCGAGGTTCAGATGCTGCCGGTTCCAAAGCCAGATAAGACAGCATTCTGAAGCTCTTCTCAATGCAAGAGATATAATCCTACCCCCCTTCACCCATGGTCCCAAAGGGGATGCTCATTGCTTTTAGGCCCAGATGAAGTATTGATCAAGCTCAATGTGACCGGCATTTTTTTTTTCAGATCTCCATTCCGCCATGGGCGACCTGGGTACTCCACCTATGTCGGCGTTCGGCGTGCGATCTCCGGGCTCCGAGGGAGCTGGAGTTGTCGTCAAAGTAGGCTCGAATGTGAAGAACTGGAAGGTAGGCGATCGGGTAGGGATGAAGCCTAGACGGTCAGTCTATGATGACTACGACCTATGCCTGGACGATAAGGAGACTTATTGCTGAAAGTCGGTACTCTATGGTCTTCATAAGACAGGGTAAGTTTGCTCCCGTTGTTAGGCGCAAGTGTCCCGGTGTCAAGGCTGATGCTCAATAATAGGACGTATCAACAGTGCTCGATCTCAAAAAACCCCACTGTAGCGGTCAATACCCTGCTGATCTATTTCACAGATATGTCACTTGCCCTGCGCATTATACGCAAAGAATTCCTAACGGAGTGGACGACTACGCAGCCGTACTAATTATATGCTCGGCGGGAACAATATATCGCGCCTTACGTCTAGCGGGGTTTAAGCCCAGCAATTAGGCCGTTTTTCTGGGCGGAAGTGGCGACGTAGGTATTCAGAGCGTATAGTTAGTGATAGTAATAGAGCTTCGACCGATTATAGTAGATATAGACGACGAGAAAGAGAAGCTCGCCGTAGCTCGAGGGGCGAAAGCCTTTACCGATTTTAAGCGTGGCGATAACCCGATCGCGAAAGCCATCAAGATCGCAGATAGTGTCGGAGTAGATACAGTGATTATTACGGTAGGTAATTCTTATCCATCCGCGATACCGTACACGGGCATAAGGGTCGGTGCTGTTATGATATGTATAGGGCTCCGTAAGTGATAGCATCTTCTTCATCCATCCAAATCTCCCCCTCTCTATCCCCTTCTCTCAGGATTTAAACGGGACTAAGCAAAACCGATAACTAGTACACGACATAGAGCTCACTATCGGAGGTCCAGCTACTGGATTCATTTATCAAGGACTGACTGTGCGCGGCTCAGTTGTGGGCAGTAGAGCCGACATTACCACCGCCCTTCAATACGCTGCAGCTGGCAAGATCTCTGGTGATCATACGGTATATCCAATTGACAGATTCCCCGAGGCGGTGGAAAGGATTAGAAAAGGTGAAGCGGCTGGAAGAGGTGTGGTTGTATTCAACCTTTAGTGATAGAAATCTGTGCATTTTAACAGGGTAGGCGACCTATTTAAGATGCACAAAGCCATTCGGTTACTTACTTGGGTAAATCGCCCCTCGTAAAGGCAGATGTCAAAGACAGTATTTCGAAATAAGATATCTCGAGTTTCCACAAAGGATGACTGCACATGACGACGATATCCATGTCCTTGTCTGGAGGGCATGTTCTTAGTGTGCGATGGTGGTCATGTTTCCGATCATATCTCTCCACCACGAAATTAGTAGCAGCGAAACTGGTGGCTTACTTGGATAGTATTGATGTTAATTGGAAAATTATAACTTTCCACATTTGCAGGTCCCTTTTGTAGGCTATAGAGGGCCAAGGTGATGTTTTTCAGCACTCGGAGTGGAAGTCCGAAAGGCCGTTTGGCCTCAAACCATGACCGGCGAACATTCTCCGAGCGGCTGGCCATATGAACGCGTCATGGTGGAAACCTTTGCTCTTGTCTATATTGTGCATAAGAATATAACACGATTACCAGAAGACCTCCCTTGAAGAAAACCGAGACCTGGCCAGTCCTAACCAGTTCTGCAACAGGGCAGAACCCTGCCCGGATCCTTTTCGGCTCTAGCTGAGCTGGAGTGGATTGATTTCTCGGCCTTACTATTGTGATAAGAGTAAGGAATTTGAGGTCAACTACTCAGCCAAACCATCGTAAGGGACGGGAGGCTGTATAGCAAACTCACAGCGCCTGCGAATCACAATGCCGTACTCGAAATCCTAGACGGAACCCAACGGTCCACTTCTCCGACTAGGAGCTGCGAAAGGCTCTGGAGCTGCTGGCTGCTTGGAAAGGATCGGCACCGCCTGCAGCGCGGTCATGAGCAACAGGACGGGGAAAGTCGCTCAACCTAGCCCATCCGATCAATCTGGACGTGAGGGAATAGAAATACGGAAAGTGAGGTGCTTGGAAGGAAGATGATGGTGCCGGTCAATTGCCGGGACCACAGTACGACGCGATTATCGCCCTGAATCGTTGCTGATAATGTGCCGCCTCTACTCTCCACTACTGACCGCTCAAGCTCCACAACTAATGCGAGTAACAAGCCTTGATACCTCGAGGGCGAGGCAGCCCTGTGCCCAACCGCCAACCTGGCTCGTCCGAGACAGGGTGAGCCCCTCTCCAGTGGGAATAATCGCAGCGATCATCAGCGTTGACCTCTTGAATGGCCAGGTGGTTGGAGCGAAGGATCTTGTATCAGTGTTCCCTTCTTTCAGAAAGTGTCCCCGTGCTTCGATGCCTTGCCTGTCTCGAACCTCGCTGCCGTCCAGCGTCGCATCCTGGGTCCTGTGAAATACAACAAGGCAAGCAGCAGATAGGAGAAGAGGACAACCATGGACAAAACTACGAAAGGCGTGACATATCCGGCTGACAACACCCAGGGGAAGACGGCGTATGAGATCCCGAAAGCCGCAAAATTCTTGACACCGTTCAGAACCACGAGGACCGCATCCGTCCGTGCCTCATAGACGTCCAGAAAGTAGGTGAATAGTATACTCAGACATCCAATGAAGCTGAAAAATGCTGGCGGAAATCGCAGTCAGCACGAAATCGTCCAAGAAAAGCACGGAACACGGCCGTTGACACTTACAGCCGAAGGCACCTGCCATGGGCCCTAACCAGTGGCAATGATGAGCATTGCAGGCACCAAAAAGCGCTGTCCCCACGATCCCCAAGACTGCCGGCAGTATTGTGAGGATAAGACGCTTCTCGGGAATCACATCACGTCCGGACTCTGCAGCGAGACGCACGGTCCTCATCTCATAGACATCCGATAGATACCCACAAAGGAAGATGGCGGTCAAGACACCGATGAATGGTGAGAGATTGGCAAGCCCAGACTCCTTGACATCGAAGGAGTATACCTGCTGGTAAGAAAATGTTGCGACAGTCTGTGCAGGTGGGTTAGTCTGCTGGCACGGAATACCCAGAGTGATGCTTCGAGGGTTTGCACCCCGTGTAATGGTATGCACTGACCAAGAGGAATTGTGAACTCATCAGTCCGAGAGCTGCCCAGATTGTGGGAATGAAAACAACCGGATGGAGAATGTACGGAAATGGATACAGAAAAGCGGACCAAAAGCTGAAGACAAGTCAGACAATTAGTCCATGCACGGGCGACTTCGTTTGCAACGCACCTGTGAACTTTTGGCCGGCCTCCTCCACTAACGCTCCAAAAACGCAAGTTGTCGAGCAGTCTTCGCTTCTCAGTGCTAGATGGATGATCCCTCGTGTACTGAGTCTCGGGGTAGAACAGAAACAGGATACATGTGCTGGTGAGCGTTGCAATGCCCATGAAGTATTGAGTCCAACGCCAGCCTGCAGCTCTAGTTGAAGATGTTCGTCAGCTGTATAGGTTCGTCTTGTTTCGCTTCGGACCACACTCACTCAAAAATGTAGGCACCAATCAGCGGACCCAGCGCGAATCCAGACCCTTGCCAGACCACGATGAAGGTGACCACTTTCGCCCTGTCTTTCAAGAAGAAAACATCGCCGGCCACTTGAGGACCAAGAGTCTCTGGCGACGAATAGAAGAATGACGACAAGATTCGCGCCCCTATCAGAGATCCGAAACTCGTGGCCTTGGCCCCCCAGAACGCCATACACGCGGCCGCCGTGGCGGTCAGCACAAAAGTGAGGCGAACACCATAGCGGTTTCCAATCGCTACCCAGACAATCGATCCGGTACCGTACATCAAAGCGACTGCTCCGATGAGGTATGTCGTGTCGGCAATGGGCACGGAGAATTCGGCGGAAATGCTGTACAAGGCGGATCCATTGATGAGCGCATTCGCTGTACCGAGAAAGATCCAAAGGCCGAGAGCGTTGAGAAGAAGCAGCTTCTGAAGAGCCGGCCAATTGAGGGGGTCGTGCACATCGGCTGTGGCAACCTCTGCGACCTCGACATGGCCACCTTCATTCACGTTGGCGGCATTTGCCTCCGAAATCTTCTCGTTTGGTGGTGTTGACATTGTCTGTAATCGCGAATCTCAAAACAAGCAAGTGGTTCACTGTTCGAGCATGGTGAAGAAAACACTCGCTCTTGACTATTTTATATCCATGTATCCGCCCCTATGCCGGGCTCGGTTGGGGACCGGCTCTACACTGGTGTACCGATCCGAATCCAACGGGGGTTTGGGTGTGAGAAGAAAGCAAACTTTGAACAAACTTGGGCGAGTACTGATCCGACTTGTCGTTGCGGGGACCCCGTGTCGAAGGAGAGAACACCTGTGGGTTGCCAGGGACGTTCCGTTTGTAATCAAGAGAATCCAGACTTTGGACAGATTACAAGCTAGCATGGCTTGGGAAAAGCCCTTCAGTGCCGGGGACCTTCGGGACAGGCCTGCGTTCACGATCGCAATCCCCCAGCTGTCCAAGTCCGACAAACGCGGAAAGAACGGGCATCCAGTTCCACCAGGGTGTGAAGCCAAAGTTTTCACTCTGATGGTTTGAAAGGTGCCGCACATGCCAGGGCAATGAGAACTCGACTCTCGTAGAACTACCCTTTTTCTAGTTTACTGTCAGCTGGAAGCTGTACACTTTGGTTTCCAGTCTAGATCCTGAGCAGCGATTTCGCGTTTCCCCAGCCAATCTTGGCCCTTGTGGCCTCGCTCATCTCCAAACCATCGAACCACGCCCCAATTTCATCATAGTCTTCGTAGGGGTAGTCTACGCTATACATAACTCGATCCTCGCCGCAGACCTTGACGGTTGATGCGAGGGCGGTATCACTCATCACGCCTGCAGTAGTGATCCAGAAGTTCTCTTCCCAGTACTGCTGTAGAGGTTTCAAGCAGGGGACATTGTCCCTTTTGAAATGCCTCAGGCGATGGTCAATTCTATACAGTGAGTGGGGAATACCCTCGCCGCAGTGTCCGATTATGATCTTCAGCTTTGGGTGACGATCGAAGAGACCTGAAGGAAATAATTAGTATCGAGCCATTTGTTCCACCGATGTTCGACTTGCCTGATATCATCAGACGGATAACGTGAGCAGCTGTCTCTGCACCAAATCCCCACGGGCTTCCTGCAAGATATTCATAGCCTTTATACACTCGCATCTGGTCTGGCGGGGGAGGCCGCGGGTGCAAATATAGTGGAACGTCCAGTTCTTCGAGTTTGGCCCAGAATGGTGCGCATTGAGGTTCATCCAGATACTGCACGTCGGTGCTAGAGATGTTGGAGAACCCATTGATCAAGACCCCGACGCAGCCCAGATCACGGACGCATCGCTCGGCCTCTAGAGCTGCTGCTTCGGGATCCTGCATCGGCACACAGCCGAACACGCGAAACCGCTGGCTGTGGGGACCTGTACGATAGCGTTGGTATAGTTCGTCGTTGACTTTGCGGGCAAAGTCGACGGCTGTAGCTTTGTCTAGGATCCCTTCGATGCCCGGCATGGTCAAGGACACCACGGTGAGGGCAATACCAGCCCGATCCATGGCTTGGACTCGGCTGCCTATGTCGAAGAGACGATACTTGACGTCTGCAACATAATCGCTGACGACATTCGGAAGCTCGCCGGTGAACTTCAGCGGGGGCAGTGTTGTCGTGGGATCAAAAACAGTTGTGCCTGCGGCTTCCTCGAGGGCAATCTTGAGAGGTGCTCGAGTTGCAGGGGTGAAAGTAGGTCGGTCAATAACAGGCCCAAGGGTGTAGGGCGTCGACATGGCGGAAAGGCGTGAACTTCGTGGAGGAAAAAGCCACTGACAACGACACTCAAAGTGTAGTGTTCACTTTCGCGTCAGGGGTATCAATTTACGTCTCCCTGCAATTTGAAGGGCATTATAAGGTTCCCACATTGGCTTGGTCCTTATCATTCGTCCTGGAAAGCGGTGTTTCCCAAGGTTGATTCATATTCCGCCAAGACTTCGAGGCTAACTGGAAAAGGAAATGCTGCTGTAAAAGTGTGGAGGTCCGGATGAGAACAAACTGTGGGGAGCGGGGAAGCGCCCCTTGGAGCTCGCAATCCCGCGGGTTTCCAGTGGCCACCTCACCAGCTTGAGGAAAGTGGGTCGAGAGGCTTGTCGCTCAGTCCGACCTCGTGAGCTTACGAAAACGTGCCGATGGTTGAAACCCCGAATGCTTGTGGGACCAACTCGGTTGATTGATCTATCGAAAAGCAAACTCCCTAGGTATGTGGATAGGGACGCGGCAGCGATGAGTGCCGCAGTGTCCCAAGCCCTGGACTAACCTGCCTTTCCCAGGTTAGGGCAACAATGCTATGTTGTATCCAAGGAGATTTAGACCTCACATCGCCTTTTCAGGCGTGGGTTCTGGTGATACATACAGCTTTCCGCTGAAGCAGATGCTTTGGTACACCCTTGTCTGTATATGGCCAAAATCTACAGATTCGGATACATGCTATGGATCAATGACATTTGTTTCTTGCCTCTTCTACATTCTGCTCTGCCCTTGCAACGATCAAACTTAGTCAATGACCTTCATTGCGATTTCCTTTGCAACAGTCATCAAATCTGACTTTTCCCAGGGACCTGCCTCCTCAGGCGGGACGGTGTGCTTGTACAGCGATCCAATCTTGCAAAGCACTCCCACCAGGCCTGCACCACTTGTCCAAATGTAGACCTTCGCATATCTGCTCACGATCTTGACGCTGAAAAAGGTGCCAGGAGGCACATATGCCGTCTCACCGGTATTCACTCTGGCCAGTGTAGCTTGCTCAAGTAAGATTTCAACCGCTCCCTCCACAACCGAAAATGCATGGTGGACCGAGTCAAAGCTCATCTGGTTTGAGAGAATGGATGGTTCATGCCAGGATGATCCTTCGAGACAGCCAAGCTCAAATCTTCCTGCCGCTTCCGCTACTCCAGAAAGTGGGCTGCAGACGAGGCCGCCGATGAGATACCTCGGGCCTGTACCTGCCTTCAGAAAATATGGCCTGACGTCGCCCGGCAGGACATCCTTCTCATCGTCCCACGGCTGAGGAGCCACGTATGGATGGTCCGGCACTCGGATGACATCAAATGTTTTAGCTGCCTCGAGGACCTTGGGGAAGAGGACTTCGGAGACCTTGCGGTCGTCTTCGACGCGAAATAGGGGTCCCGAGTATGACTCGCCAATGACGCGGAAAAAGTCTTCCCAACCGCCAGGCACAATCAGACTTAGATACTCGGTGTAGTCTCCGAGGACCTGATATTGATGCACAATGTTCGGAGGCACACTCGCGTAGTCGCCGGGCCCAAGTGTACGGCACTGATCGTCAGCCCAGACGTTGATGAAGCCTTTCACAACGAGGAAGATGTCGTGGGCATCTCGATGGTAATGGAATCCGATGGGGTCGCTCCCGATGCCACCCTGTCCCAGCACGGCGAAGGCGTTGTGTGTTTCGCGGCCTGTGACCAACAAACGGAAGCAGGACTTGGTTGATGGGAGGTATATCACTTCTCCACACAGATATTCTAATGTGTAAGGTTGTCCAGGTTTTCCCGGTGGCACTCTTGAGGCTTGTAGAAGCTCAGGCATTGTTGGTGGATGGTCTTTGTGGTTTCCTTCAAACAAATAATTTAGAAAAGGAAAAACGAGAAAAAAAAAAAAGCTCAAGAACGAGAAGTACACAAGTATAACTACGGTGGGCTTCATCAAAAGTGGCGAAGTCGAGTGGGATCTCAGACAGCTGGTAACGTCCGAGTGCAGCCCATCCTAGCTCACGTCTTAGTTCACATGGTGGGACGGGACAGCTTCGACAAGAAATATCTCGGGAGGACAATTGCCCCTGTCTGGCATTGATTGGAACTCCAACGGGACTTGTGAAGCAATGAGGGACATTGTTCCGGAGAGGTAGGCCACGTAGAAATCCGCATGACCACGACATGACCAGCTGCAGGGAAACCCCACACCGTGCCGAGTAAAGGAGGAGGATGAAGCAGGTATCGAGCGCCACAAAAGCCCTCCCATACCCTTTGACCTGGTTTCGACACACTGCGTCGAATATCGGCAATAATGGACACATTACCCTCTCTTGGAACATCCTTGGCGGATATTATACCTCCCACATATGGCATCTACGCTCCTTTGTTGATGAAAAACACCGACGCCATTCGGTCAACGACCCGTCGGACCTATGCCTATGGCAAACACCCACGCCAATTCCTAGACTTGTACAGTCCCTCATCAGAGAACTCTCGGCGTCTCAACAACCATTCAGTTCTCATTTTCCTCTACGGTGGCGGCCTGGCTCGCGGCAACAGGGTGGATCCTGATTTCGCTGAAGGACTGTCGTACGCCAATGTCGGACACTTCTTCTCAGAACAGTTGGGAATCCAGGTAGTAATACCAGACTATCGGCTCCTGACACATGGGGCCACCTTTCCCTCTGGAGGAGAAGATCTAGCCCTCGTGGTGGAATGGGTGTCCGATCATCTGTCAGGCAACCGACGATCACTAGACGTTTTGCTCATGGGACATTCTGCGGGCGGGCTTCATCTCGCAACGTATCTGATGGCTCCTGAGTTTGCCAGCAGGCGGAACATATTAACTGGAGAAGGCCTTGGAGGCGCAAATTTAAAGGCTGTCATATTGCTCTCGGTTCCGCTCACTTTTGAGGACGCCACAGGTACGCGGAGGGAGAACTTTGAGACTTACTACGGAAAGGACTTGGCCCGACACTCACCGCTGGCGCTGTTGGAGGACGGTTTGAAAGGCGAATCTCTCAACTACTTGATGGATGTTTCAGTGGCTATTTTGACTTGCTCCCTCGATCCCGAGGTCGAGATCTTGGCACCCACGGCAGCTTTTGTGAAGGCTTGGCAACACTCCGCTTTGTCTACACAGCTGGCAGTGGTGAAGGTGGATAGTCACAACCACTTCAGTCCGGTGTTGAGCCTTGGGACCGGAATCCCAAGAGAGGAATTATGGGGTCAGCAGCTTATAGATTTCATCATTGGAGCTTCTGAGAAGGAATCAGCTTGATAGAGACCAGCTTAACCCACAACGACGGTGAGCGGACAAAGATAATGACTCGGCTCAGCGGCAGCCACCAATGCATTGATCCGAGAAATTCCTGCATCAAACTTTTCGGTTACAGCGTGATACTAGAGGCATGATCCGCATAGACCGGAGGTTATAATATGGAGTTATGCGGCATGTGCTGCACGAAGTACTGTGCTCCCTAGAGCGAGGAGACCCGCGCGTTTCCGTGTCCAGGGAGGTATCGGAGCCTTTCCCGGCAGCCCCTTTTCCCATCTTTGTGACAGGGTGGAGCAATGCTCCACGACAAAGTAAGGTTTGTACGTGATGGCTGTTCAAAAGATGGTCTGGGTCTAGATCAACTTACTGGTGTTGGCGCTGGCAGGTCCCACGGTCCCATGCCACACGGATCGTTGTCGCAATGAAGTCGGCAAGATAATTATCGGCGTCCCGTAAAACACTGTCTGGTAGCTTCAAAGATCTATTAATGACTTTGACTTCCACCAGGCCTTGTACGTGCCTCAAGCCTCATTCAATATGGCAGGTCTCCCTAATCAACCGGAAGACTTTGCGACTACCGAGCACTCAACATCATACCTGTCCACGCCGAACGGTGTCCTAGATAAGACCAAGGACGGTGCTCCTGCCAACGGGGACAGGCACGATGGCCAAACTTCTCAAAACATTGATGTCGACGTTCTGATAGTCGGTGGCGGATTCACCGGAGTTTACGGCATTCATCATTTTCGCAAACTCGGTCTGACGGTCAAGGTCCTCGATGCCGGTTCTGACTTTGGCGGAACCTGGCACTGGAATCGATATCCAGGGGCTCGGGTAGATAGTGAATCCCCATACTATTCACTCACCATTCCTGAAGTATACAAGGATTGGTACTGGAAAGAACGATTCCCGGGATACGAGGAACTGCAAGAGTACTTTGAACATGCTGCAAAGGTTCTTGATTTGAGAAGGGATGCGATATTCAACAAATTTGTAACCTCTGCTTCGTACGACACAGAGCAGGGCAAGTGGAGCGTGCACACTGCTGATGGAAGCACGGCCAAATGCAAGTATCTGGTGATGGGCACAGGTTCGACATCAAAGGTGTACTATCCAGATTTTCCAGATCGGAATAAATACAAGGGTCACCTGATTCACTCGGCGCGTTGGCCAAAAGAAGCAGTGGATATCAAAGGCAAGAAGATCTGCGTCATTGGTTCTGGGGCGACCGGTGTACAGATTGTACAGACTCTGGCGCGCGAAGACTGCCATCTTACCGTATGCGTACGGACACCAAACACAGCAATCCCAATGCGGCAATACAAGATGACCCGGGAAGAACAAATATCGCCAAAATGCTTCTACCAGTCCATACTGATGGGAGCTCGAGACTGTTGGGGAGGCTTTCCTTACAATCCAGCCCCAAAGCACTGGACAGAGGCTACACCTGAAGAGCGCCAGACATTCTACGAAGAGCTTTGGTTGAAAGGCGGTTTCAGCTTCTTCGTCTCAAATTACATTGAACTGCTCAGCGATAAGGAGATCAATAGAGAGATTTATGCGTTCTGGGTCAAGAAGACGCGAGCTCGGATTCAGGATCCGGTCAAGAGAGATATCATGGCGCCGTTGAACCAGATGCATTGGATTTTCACCAAACGGCCGTCACTGGAGCAGGACTACTACGAAATGGTGGATCGGGACAATGTAACGGTACTGGACTTGAAGAAGCATGCGATAGAACGGTTCACCGAGAAGGGCATCGTCTTCTCCGGCGACAAGGAGCGAGAATTCGACATCATCGTTTTTGCAACCGGCTACGATAATATCTCGGGCAGTCTGTTTGACGCTGGACTAGTCGACACCGACGGAGTAAAACTGACGGAGAAATGGAATAACGGCATCTATACTTACCTGGGGCTCATGGTCAACAAGATGCCCAACATGTTCATGACCTATTCACCGCAGGCACCCACTGCCCTTTCTAACGGTCCGCCACTGATCGAAATACAGATAGAATGGATAGGCAAGGCCATCCAGAAAATGCGCGAGGAAGGTGTGAAATACATTGATGCCCAAGCTGCTGCTGCTGAGCGCTGGAGGAATGAGGTACACGCCATTAGCAACAAAACACTCTACCCAGAGACAGACAGCTGGTTCATGGGCGCAAATATACCGGGGAAACCACGAGAGCAGCTGATCTATCTCGGAGGCCTGAACGTCTATAACAAAAAAATAAGCGACGCTTTGGACGGGTGGAAAGGATTTGATGTCGTCAAAGAATAGCCGAAGAAACCATAAAATACACAACCTGAAGTATAGGGAAGGCTGCCTATAGATATAACTTGAAAGAATAAATCATGATGTCCTTTTCCAACTCAAACAGGCATTCATCTAAAGCAGAAGATTTGTGCTGGGACCTAGTAGGGCATTTGTAGCATTTAATGGCATTGTGGTTGCTCGAGCAAATGTGACGACAGCTCAGCGTGAGTCCTACAGAAATACAGCTCCACCGCCAACATTGAGCATCTGTCCAGTAATAAACTCAGCCTCAGGACTCGCTAGATACATAAATGCATGGGCGACATCTTCTGGAGTGCCATTCCTTTTGACCACCTGAAGATCCACGACCTTGGAAAGCCAAGGTTGCATTTCTGGGACCGCTGTGGTCCGTTCGGTCGCAATCATTGTGGGTGCGACGAAGTTTGCCGTGATTCCCGGGCCTGCCTCGACGGCGGTTGCCCTCGTGAAGGCCGCAACTGCACCTTTAGACGCCGTGTATGCAGAGAGTCCAGGCTCTGGCTTCACGATTGTTTGACTCGAGGTGTTGATGATCCTTCCATACCCGGCTTTTTGCATGTGTGGTAAGACGGCCTGGGTCAGAAAGAAACAGCTGTCCATGTTCACCTGGAAAATCCTTCGATACTCGGCCGCAGTCGTCTCCAGTAACGGCCTTGCAGGATAAATCCCGGCCAGGTGTGCCAGGATGGTGATCTTGTCGTATTGCTGAACAATGCCGTGCACGAGTTTATGGACTTGGTCTTCTTGCGTCAGGTCGCATGCTCGAACAGACACCCTTGCACCATGCGAGCTTAAGTGGGTTTCAACTTCACGCAGGCCTTGGTGGTCAGTGTCCACCAAGATGACCAGGGCTCCCTGTGTGGCGAAAAGGTCTGCCACGGATTTGCCAATTCCACTTGCTGCCCCTGTGACGATGGCTACTTGGCCGCTGAACTTCAATAAGCCCGCTCGGGTAGGAGCACTGCTGTCTCTTAGGCTTGAGGTCATGATGGAGTATTGTATTCCAAAGAGAACCGCAGTCAAAATCGACCTTTTTATGTGCTCTCACGATTGGGAAAAGATGAAGATATAGTCCACTACCTCGACACCAGAAAGCGGCGGAGAGTATCCAAGCTTGGAGCACTTGGGGGCAAGGATACCATATACTGCCCCGCCATCAGAGTTCACCGGCTTGAAAAGGCAGCACCTCTTCCCACGAGGTCGGCCTTGACACGGTGGGACCAACATTGGCTGGATTATAGCAAGGTTTGATTAGTAAAAGTCCTTCGGAAAGAATTTCACAAGCAATGATACCGCAGGAAGAACGGTACACATCACATATGATGGTCTTGGTTTCTATGGTACTATTGTCCATCACGGTAGATGAAATGAACGTCAGGCCCTTGATACCCCGAGCGCGTCATATATAGCTGTCACATATGCCTTTGTGCGAGCCGAGCCCAAGAACGTCATCTCCAGCTTGTTCATGACATATGAAATGGTGATTTTACGCTCCAGATCCATGATCACGATTGAGCCGCCAAATCCACCCCAGGTGCAGATTCTTCCCGAGGGAATCCAATCGATCCATGTACCCGCCGAGGGTAGAGCGAAGCCTGTGCCCCAGCGAATGGGGGCCCCGAAATTCAATACCTGGTCAGTTCCGTCTGCCTGAACCTGGAAGATCTGATTGATGGTGGCTTCAGACAGAAATTCCTGACCATCCGGGGCGCGGCCGTGTCTCGAAATGACAGACAGGATTCGATTTATGCCCCTTGCGTTGGTGTGACCATTGCCAGATCCAATCTCGGCCTTTCTGAACTCCAAGCTATTGGCAAAGTCCATCTCCATCGCAGGATTGGACAATGTTTTGGCCATGATTGAGCCAGGCTCCATCGGCGGAAAGTGCATTGGAGGAGGGAATATGTCGCTCCTGCGTGGCTCATCCCGTTCTTGGCACCCCAGCTGAAAGTCCGCTCCAAGCGGGGCCGATATATCTTCGGCAATGAACCGTTTGAGACTTTTGCCAGAGACTCGTCGCACAACTTCGCCATTCAAGTACCCAGACGTCAGCGATTGATATCCCGATGCCGTACCTGGCTCCCACCACGGCTTCTGCCGGGCGAGGAGAGCTGTGAGCTTGGGCACGTTGACCAGATCCTCGATCACTAACGGCTGATCCCATCCTGAGAGACCGGAGGTATGGGACATGATGTGCCGGATCTCGATATTTTGCTTCCCATTCGCAGCAAACTCAGGCCAATACTTGGCTACCTTGTCGGTCAACTTCAGCTGCTTACGGTCTGCCAGGAGAAGTAAAGCAAACGACAAGATGGTCTTGGTTGCTGAGAAGACATTGACTATCGTGTCACGTTCCCACGGCTTCGAGTGGTCAAGGGTCGTAAATCCTCCCCAAAGATCAAGGACATCATCACCATCGATGTTGACGACAATCGATGCGCCCAATTCTTCGCCAGACTCGAGATAGTTCTGGAGAAGTCTACGGACGACTTCAAATCTTTCTTGACAATGGCCGTGAACAATGACCTCCATGGCGGACTCTGTCAACGATTCCCAAAGAAGACTCGACGGATCAGTGTAGAAAGTTGGATTGGGTACAACTGCATCGCTTCAGACACGACAGATTTATGTGGGAGGCAAGGTGGAGCCGGGAGAGTTCCTTCATTGCGCGTCCTCGGGAAGTAGCAGAGACTCCAGATTCAGTGGGACTGTACAGACAAGCTTCTATGCTTGATCGAGATCACAATACGCTTCTTGGTCCTACAGGAATGAGAGGCGACCATGCGATGGTGGGTTGAATGCCCTGGTACTTGGTGCCGGGGTTGTGTTAAGGTTTCCACAAATCTGGTAATTTCCATGCACGGAAACCCGCGCGTTCCGTCTCGGGGCAGCCATCATCATCGCCACATTCACATTCACTTCACTTTTCCCGCCCGCGTGCATTGCTCCTACTCTCCCCTCTCAGAGAAAGATGGAATCCCGCGGATTACCTGATCGGAATGGTTCGCAGAGACGCCCAGCATTATCCCGTCGCTCAGTAAGTCCAAGCTTGATGTGTTGAGGATCGAAGACTGAGTCAAGTGCTGAGCGTAGTGTGACCAATGTCGCGCCCGAAAGGTCGGTCTTTCCCCTCTCAGACGGAACAAACAGTGAAAAGTGAAGATGCAATTCTGACAGAGGGCTTAGATCGGTTGCGACCGAGCTGTGCCGTGCTCTCATTGCATCTCGGTGCGGGCTGAGTGCACTCATAGCGCAACTCGAAGCACCCCCTTGACTTCCAAGCAGAGGGTTTTGATATCAACCGAATAGTGAGTGGTCTCTTCGTGCTAGTGTTGGAGTCTCCTCGCCATGATGCTTACTCTGTTTCGACCAGCGAACGCAAGATCGATAATCTCGTCAAAAACGTCGATGAAATTCGACGTTTGCTTGCAGACACTGCCGCTGTAAAGTCGAATGCAGACCAGCGCGGCAAAGCTGGATCCTGGCCTTCGAGTTGCAATCGAGACGTACAAGAAGCCCCTAAAATGCTCCAATCTGGGCCTGCCACTGCTGGATCAAACGCTCAATGGGAGCACTCGGCCCACCTCATCGACTTTGTCAAAGACATAGTGGAGGAACGGAGGAAGACTGTGCCAGGAGACAGTGCGACCATGGCCTCCTTGAGACGCTTCGTGCGGACTGCCGAAGATCAGAAGATTTTCCAAACGCCGGTGATCTCAAAATTCACGGGGGCCAAGCAGGAGGAGGATGTAACCCTACCACCTGTCGAAGCAACAACAGCGGTCATTCGATGGGCGAGAGGTTGGTTACACCGTTTCACTGTATCCGAAGGGACTGATTGACATCGATCATAGACCATGCTCAGATTGGCACGATGAGATGGGTCTCCCGAATACTTCCTCTCGAAAAGTTTGCAAAGGTTTGCCAGAAATTGTATTTTCCCACGGGCGATCACGACCTCGTCGACCTCGTCGTTGGCAACGGCTACTTGTCTTATATGTTCTCCGAACATGCAAATCTTTCCGGCCTGCAGGAACACAAGGATTATGGGTATTGCTGTCGGAGCAACCTCCGCAATGCTCTCTTGCGCCTACCGCTTCTTCTGAAACCATGTATGGAGACCATCGCCGCTCTGACAATCGGCGTGAGTTTCCCCTTGCAGTATGATGCCCTGTCAAGTTCGCTGACTACCAACGGACCAGGCGGCCAGTGCGATTGAATCCTCTCAAGCAGCCATGGCTTGGAGCTTCATCTCCGCTGCTTCCAGTCTTTGTATAACGCTACGTTATCACCGCGCTCCAGCCTCTGACGATCTGCATGATGTACCTCAAGCGGACCGAGAGCGCCTCTTCTGGACAATTTACGCCATTGACAAGGCCCTCTCTCTCCGACTGGGTCGGCTTTCCAACATCCGTGACTCTGAAGTGACATTGTCGATAGACCAGTGCGAAATTCGGGAAGCGAAGCTAGGCAGAATACAAGGCCAGATATATGAGCATTTGCATAGTCCTGAGACTCCCAACAATGCGACTAACGATAAAGAACGAAGTAATGCCGTCGAAGTCCTAGCAGAGGCAACACGAGATTTGATCCGACAAACAGAAGCTGAAATCTCGGTATGACACGCCCCGACAGGTTTCGTTCCACACTGATATAGATGCAAGGATGCCTCAAGACAGCTTAGTGCTGTTGACGAAGAGAATATACGCCTTGTGTATCTAAAGGCCGAGCTTGTGTGCCAGTCCTCTGTGCTTACATGGATCTTGCATGCTGCACCCAGCCAGGGGGATGCTACGCATAGCCCGTCAGACGAGTGTGTTGCGGCCGCGCGGTCTGTCTTTCAGTTCCATGCAGAGTTCCTCCGAATGGCACGGTTCTTGAAAAATGATCCTTTCTTGATACAGAGGTATATGAATTGGTAAGCGACACTGAAGTATCGTCCCGTTCGAGCACTGGCCCACAGAGCTTCTGACCATGTTTGTGAAGGGCACTTCTAAATATTCCATTTGTGCCGTTCAATATCTTGTTGACTCGCACCCTCCAACAGGTTGATGACGCCGACATCGCTCGCATGGAAGGCTTCACCAATTCGTTGCAGCTGGAAACGGACATTGGCGAAGGGATAACTCACCCTCACAGCCTGTACAAGCTCTTGTGCCGGGCCGCACAGTGCTACATCGACGAGCATGCTCAGTCCAGGACTTATGATCCGACCTTGACTGAGAATGATGTGGCTGAGTTCAGCGAATTCGAATTTAGATATATGGGTGGCGACGGTCATACGACACCAGGATGGTTCGACTGGTACAACCCCGATCAATACCCTGATACATGGATGAATCAGGGGTAGCATGATTAGGTATATGTGTTTGGGTTCCCTTCTCCATCTTCCAGCGATACGAAAAGAGTTGAATTCAAGCAACCTGCGCACTAAATCCCTAGCTCACCACCTTGATACTTGTGAAAAGTTCAGCAGGCAACAGTTTGAGGAACTAGCCTGCCGCTTTTACATTTAGCTGCAACTAAAAAGATACAACAAAACGTACAGCCTAACTAGCCACAGAATCCAAATCTTTGTTCAACGAGTTTACCAAACAAGGACCGTAACCCCGTCGCAGCCGGCAGGCCATTTGATTTCCACCTCATCGCCCTGGGGAACCACCTCACCGCCATAGATACCACCGGCAATTTCAGAGCAAGGGAAAGATCCATTTACAGGAGCCAAAGGACCAGATCCGGCTTGCCACGTGATGCGACCGCCCTTGATCACATTGATGGAACCGAGATGCTGGTCACGAAGGTTACCAGATGGTCAGGAGCTAGAATTGGCGTTGGCTGGGGCGAGGGAGGCATAGAGTTGAGCTTTCTTGGACCCGCTGAGGGTAGAGGTCAAGTTGGTGAGGTCAAAGACGAGTTGGCACTGTTTACCAGCGTATTTCTTGTCGTTGTCGAAGGTGACAAGGGTGCTAATGTCGCCGCCGTTGTTGTTGGAGCTACGGCTGACAAGGCCTTGGGCTGTGTGGAACGCAACAGCACCGGTGGCGGAGTTGTATTGGCTGGTGTAGTTAGAGTAGATGGTAGCGACAGGTTCGTTGGCGTGGGCGACCAGAGGGGCGTTGGCAATGAGTAAGGAGGTGACGAATACGATAATTGCTTTTCCGTACGGAGTATATTGTGGATTGAATGTTGATCACTCAATAAAGTGGAAGTATTGTTATCTTCCCTAGCTACTATATTCCGGTGAATTCTGACCGAAACATATATAAAATTAAGGTTACGGGATCAATCTTAGTACGAATTCTAGTCGAATATTTCGACGTATTTCCTATAGAAAGACTCTAGCTTATAATCGAGTCTATTATCGAATATAATTAGTTC